ATGCACAACCCGCAGACGACTACTGCGTCTTCTTGTAAATTTTGGCCATAAATTTCAAGAGCATTTTGAATCTGAACAAAAACAACATGCCAAAATCATCATTGGCTTACACTCGCAGAATTGTCGTAATGTTTTATAAATCGCGAAAAAATTTCAACAAAATTGAAAAGTTATTTAATGAGTTGTCAAATGTTACAAAAAAGACTTTTTATTTACAGAATCAGTCTGTCTAATTAAAAATTTTAACCAATTCTAGAATGCTGTAAAGACTTTTTATAGCTAAGACGAAACTCTATGAACGTTTTAGAAATATGTGGTTTAGATGATTGTATCAAATAGGAAGATTTTTCATTCAGGTTAAATAGGAATTTGTGGTAACTTTTATTTTTACTTGTGCAATATGGTTATAAAATTTTTGCTAAGATTTATTCCCGGAGAACAATTGCAATCTTTGATTACTTGACACTTTAGTAAATAGCGCAAAAACAAGGCGAATAAAGATGAAATTTGCCAAAAATCAGGAAAGCGACGACACGAAAAACCCCTTCAGTTACGATGTATAATGAGTTTTTGAAAACGCTAACTTTGTTAAGGCTGCTTTTTGAAAGCGGCCATAGAAATTCAAGAAGCAAATTTGGCATCCGAATCGCGAAAAAAGTGGGTTTAAAGCCTATCAAATAACTGTAATTTTTTTTCCTTTTTTCTCGGTTAAATATAAGGCTTACCATTTCGTTTAACTACCGCTGTGGCAATATGAAAAAACTGTGGTTTGCTGTAACTGTTTGACTACGAAAAGCGAAAAATTGTTAAAAAATTGTACTCATTATCTATACTTTGTGTATAGAAATCCTTGTAGAACTCTTTGTGCTTTTTAATGTTAAATATAATAATGCCTATCCACTCAATATCGGCAGAAGGTTCCCGTCAGCTATATCAGCATTTTAAGAAAGCAACATGTTCTTCAAGTAACATCAATTATCAAGATGATATTATGGTCTGTTGTCCTGAATTTGGTGCTTAATTACTTAGAATTTTACGTGGTAACATTTAAGATATCCAGTTTTTTCAGTTTGTTAACGAAGAAAAAAATCATCACTTTTGATGACAAATTTTTGTTTTGCAGACTCGTTAGACACCTGTTAATTTAATAATTCAAAATTAGTTAATACTGAACAAGCTGTATTAGTTACTGAAGTAAACCTGCATCTCATCTAGCATACAACGCTTACCTGGTGAGTGAAATTAAAACTACAAAAGGTATTGGTAATAATAGATAACTCAGAAATAATTTAATTAGATGTTTCGCTAACAATAGCAGTATGAAAGAACTGTTACTCTCTGATATTTCTTTAAAACAACTATTGTCTTTGAAAGAAGAACAAATTTGGAAGTGGTACATGCATATAAGCAAAGATTTTTATGCAGAAAAATTTATAAATGTCGACAGATTTTCCGACCGTTCAAATGTTTTTCACTTTTTTCACTTTTTTTTTGAGTGGTGAAAACGAAAATTTTAAGACGGCTGTAAAACTAAGCAATGTCTACAAATTTGAAGTTTTTTTCCAAATACTTTTTCAGTTTTAAAAGTTAAAAAGAAAATTCATAGAGTGGTAAAAATGCAATCTTGAGCTGTTGCTTGTTGGTTTCAATATCCCTCTGCTGGAAAATAGTTCTGGAAGTGGACCTGGTCAACATTTTGGGGAGAACAAAGAAAAAAATTTCACTGGATCTCTACAAAAAGAGAACAGGCACCAAATTTCATCAAAAAGTCTGGAAAAAAGATCAGAAAAAAACTGGAGAACAAAGAGTTTTAGGAGTGGCTTTATTGATAGTACCAATTGAGATTTGTAGCATGGTTACAGATGTTTTCGCTCAGTACTAAAGTATCATGACAGAAGAAGAGGCGAAACATAGAAGGTAACTACTAAACATATCAGCGAAACAGTAAGAAGAAACTTGAAAACCGATACGGTGAAAACAAAACGAAAAAAATTAATTGTTGAAACCTGTACGTGATGTCAAAATGAATTCATCTTGTTGCAAGTTCTCGACAACTACTCGTTTTTTTTTTTGGCGAAAC